GAAACATGGAAATTGTGTTTGTATTTTGAGTCCGTCACAGGTACAGTGCGCATGCGCCTTACCTTCCCGCCCTTTTCTGCGCGGGAGTCACACTGGACACTCCCACCTACTTCAGCGCCAGTGCACTAAACCACTGCACACTAAACACTCCAGAACATATCTGCATATCTCCACCTGTGCACACCTACACATGTGCACCTTCACACGTGCACCTACACACCAACACGGGTACACATACACACATATGTGCACCTACGTGTGTACGTTGGTTGCAACCCGCTCTCGCACAAGACAGTACATATATGACATATTGCTTAGTCACTATTTGGCTGATTAATAAGTACATATGTGGTACATGCATACACACATGCATCAACACGGGTACACACATATATGTGCACCTACGTGCGTACACCTACACACATGCACCAACACGGGTACACACATATATGTGCACCTACACATGTGAGCACTTCAACGTGCACTCTGTACACTCTTGGTGTCTGTGCACATAATAATGCTTTGATACCGTCGACAAATATAGAGTGATCATGATCCACATGAACTACATACATAAAACTTCAAAATACTATCGAGCGTAAACATGCAGCACACAGCACACAACAGTTAGTCTGCACAAAAGGCAACATACTCACAAGTATATGGAATTTTGCCAAATGAACTAATTCGCATCACAGTGCCTAATACAAGGAATAACACCACATTACAAATGTGCTGTTATTTGTATTTGTACACCAGAGCACAATACCACACACTCACACCAGGGCACAATACCACTCACACCAGGGCACAATACCACTCACACCAGGGCACAATACCACACACACCAGAGCACAATACCACTCACACCAGGGCACAATACCACACACACCAGAGCACAATACCACTCACACCAGGGCACAATACCACACACTCACACCAGAGCACAATACCACACACTCACACCAGGGCACAATACCACTCACACCAGGGCACAATACCACTCACACCAGGGCACAATACCACTCACACCAGGGCACAATACCACACACTCACACCAGAGCACAATACCACTCACACCAGGGCACAATACCACTCACACCAGGGCACAATACCACACACTCACACCAGAGCACAATACCACTCACACCAGAGCACAATACCACTCACACCAGGGCACAATACCACACACTCACACCAGGGCACAATACCACACACTCACACCAGGGCACAATACCACACACTCACACCAGGGTACAATACCACACACTCACACCAGGGCACAATACCACACACTCACACCAGGGCACAATACCACACACTGAATACACAGAGAACAACAGTATGAGTGGCCGCTCAACACACTGACGCGTACACACAGTTGAGAGGCGGGACCAAAGAGCCAGAGCTCAACCCCCGCAAGCACAAATAGGTGAATACAAATAGATGAGTACACATTTAAGCAACAAGAATAACAACTACATGTGGGGGACAGAGAGAGCTATACTATACTTCACCACAGTCACAGGTAAGCCCACACATACAAGCAGTTGGGGGAGGGCCAGGAGCTGAAGCTTAACTCGGCTTGCCCAATTAGATTTGCACACACACACACTTGATCAATCAGCACATATATCAGTACTCACAACTCACAACACCCCCCACAAAAGTGCACAACTACACACAGTTACAACACAGCACAACACACGTTATAGCAAGATATCAACAGCTCCACAACCCAGCAAGCACAACAGCAAGATGCTCCACACAACACAACAATCAAGCGGGAAGCAAACAGTGTTAAGGAACAGCAGGGAGAAAATCCGGCCAGACACGAACAAAATGGGAGGATGGACGAGCGAGGAAATATATTTGCGGTGAAAAATACCGAGTCAGCGGCACACCTGGGCAAAAATGGCACGGTCGCCGGGGACACGGTCAAATTATGTTTGGCACAGTGAAAAGCAAGCAGCCACGGTCAAATGTAGGCACGGTCAAAAGTAAGGAGATCCGGTCAAGAGCGGAAAGGATCTAGAGCAGACACGGTCAAGTGTAAACAAGATGAAAAACAAACAAACACAGTCCCAAAGAAACACGGCCACAAAATTGACTATTCGAGCAACATACTAAAACGAAGAGCAACAAACTAGAATACATAAAAAATAAAATAAAAAGCAGGCGCCGTAAGGATGGGCGGGAAGGAGTGGAAGAAGCAGGAACACGTATTATACACGGCCAGCTAACACACCCCAAGAAACTAACAGATGACAATAGAAGGAATAACAAGTCAAAAAATATTACACGAATAAAGAGCAGTAATAATGACAGTGAGAGAGAGAGAGAGAGAGAGAGAGAGAGAGAGAGAGAGAGAGAGAGAGAGAGAGAGAGAGAGAGAGAGAGAGGAGAGAGAGAGAGAGAGAGAGAGAGAGAGAGAGAAAGAAACACCCACACTTGAAAGCCCTACGACACTTCCAGGGCTGGAGATGGCTAAGCAGGAACACGCTGGATACAGAGTATAAGAGGAGTCGTGATAACACGCGCAGGAAGCTCATCAATACAGGTTACATCAATGGGAACAATTTAATACACACATTAGTAATTCATTACTCTCACAGCATTAGAGACGCAGGCGGAAACATATAAGATATAATAAGAGTTGTTGGTAAATATTCCTTTACCAGTAGTAGGGGAAATGTACTTAATGAAGCGATGTTTGTTGCATATTCAATGAATGTCACTGTTTACTAAGATGAGGGGTAAAGTTATGTATTATATAGTATGGCTATAGAAGGTTAATGTCCAATGGTGAAATGCGCTTGTGTTGCGTCCTGTGGTTCTCCCTTGGTCAGGCTGTGTTAGTGTTATCGGCCCGGTTTTGGTTCATATTTGAGCATAGTTGTCCGACTCTCTGATTTGTGTTAATGCCACCATTATTTTCGAGCCCGGCACTGATGGATCATTCGCAGCAGGTCTCGTGGTATACTCTGGCGCCACTGTGCCTGGAGTATACCTGGAGAGAGTTCTGGGAGTTCTACTTCCCAAGGCTTCTTATAACCAAGACCTCGTGCCAACTTGGTCCAACAGGCTGTTGTTTGGAGCGGCCTGCAGACACATATATCCATTACACCTCTGTTGGTCCGGCACTTCCCGCAGGAACTTGCTTAATTGCTTCATGAACACGTCCACTTTTGTTCTGGCAATAATACATTTGAGGGAGAACAACGCTGGTGTTCATACAGTGTTCGTAGGATTCTGCCTATGGCACCTCTACACTTCAATAGCTGTATTATGCATTTCCTGCAATATCTTTCACTCTAATATGTTATTATTTTGTTAGGAATATTAGGAACCTTGCCTTCCAGTAATCGTCCATGTCTATGTTACGTGGTACCTCTCTCGTCTCCAGTTTCCATTTGATATGCGTTGAGACGGTCCCAATAATTGAAGTGCTTTACCGTGTTCGCCGAATTCCCTCAATTTCTTCTTCTCGCCCACACCTCAAACACCTGGCACGAGGAACATCAAGGACAGCTGGTTGCAGTACGCTGCACACCGGTTGATTGCCACAATCTCCCGCCAGGGGAAGAGGAGGCCGAGCTGTGCCCGGAGGAACCAACCGCACCAATTACCTCCTCCTGGAGAGCCTGGTAACGAGGCCCAATTTCAGGAGTGGAATATTTTAGGCAGCTAGGGGAGACGACGCTATTTTAGTGTGTGAACTCCAGGGGCACCAGACATAAGGAGAGACTAAAGGTGAATATCAACACGGCCGGGTGGGATGGACCGCGGGGGGGGGGGGAGGTTAGGGCCTCATTGGTCTGAGGTCGTCCTCCTCTTGAGGTCATCCTTGGCATGAAGTCGTCCTCCGCTTGAAATCGTCGTCCGCGAAAGGTGATCTCCCGTCTGAGTTCGTTCTTCGCTTGATTTCGTCCTCGCCTGAGGTCGTCCTCAGCATGGGGTCGTTTATGGCATGAGGTTGATCTCCTCGGGAGTCACTATGGAAGCGAGGTTAAGGAAGAGAGTCAGAATTTAAATTAAAAAAAAAAAAGCGGAGTTTTGATGGACTTGCTTGAGGTCACTCTGCGTTAACTTCAACTTGGGTCAGTTTAGTCAAGTGGATCAGCGTAAGCAAAGTGAGAATATAAAACAGAAACTGAAGCATCTGTTCCTAGTCAATGGACGAGGGATGGAGGATGATGCACGGGGTCAGTCTAGGTCAACTTGCTCCACAAAGCAGTCAGTGTATGACAACATGAATGAGCTTGAGCTGCCCGGGTCACCTCAGAGGTCAAGCCGGGGTGAAGGTGTAGTGGGTGTAGGGTGGGCCGCCCAGTTATGAGGACGGCCACACCACCCACTCTTGAAAAGTATATGAAGAGAATGAAGTCTTTAGGTCCTGAAGTGGGAAAATGGTCAAGGGTCACAAACACACGAGACAGCGGAAGTACCCAAAAAAAGACACATTTTGTTGTGGGTTGAATGTTTGGTAGTGAAGAGACGGGCGGAGGGAAGACAGGTCGGGGCATTTTTAGGCCCGTCAGGAGGAAGGAACGCCAAAGAACGTGCCGCTGCATCCAGATCACAGGCTGGTGCTGGGGGCTCCGTCGTCAGGGTCTAGTGGGGAGGGGAAGAGAGCAGGCATATACGTCCAAGGCAAGAAGGGAAAGTGAAGGCAAAATGGGAGCAAACCAACACTTGTATCAACTCCACGATGCCTCAGCCAACAGAAACCAAGAACTACAACCAAGGAGGTGTGGGAGGGCCAAGTCCTGGTGTTAACACAACACTCAACCAGGTACACTACAGTGGCTAACTGCTCTTGAGCGCAGCGGAGAAGCCTTCAGTACAGCAGGAGAAAACACGGATCAATCCGGATGGAGGGAATACAAAAAATAAAATACCAAATCTCTCATGCACCAAGACTACACTTGCGGTGGCGCCGCCTGGGAGCCGTGAGGGCCAGGGGGAAGTATGGTGGGCGCCAGGGCAGGACTCCTCACCTATGCAGGTGTGGGAGCGGGTCCGGGAACGTGGGGGCGTCCAGGGCCATGAGGGAGTTCCTAAAGTTGGTGAACGACAAAAATGTGTGAGTCTCGTTGCTTCCTGCTAGGGATGAGAGAGAGAGAGAGAGAGAGAGAGAGAGAGAGAGAGAGAGAGAGAGAGAGAGAGAGAGAGAGAGAGAGAGAGAGAGAGAGAGAGAGAGAGAGAGAGAGAGAGCTCTCTAATATAAAAAGTGATAATTAAAAGAATAATTCGGAATCTAAGGAAAATGAGAAGCAAGACAATAACAAATTATTACAACAAAAACGTAAAATATGATGAAACAACACACTATAAAATTTGTACACCAAGAAAGTTTATAGCTTTAATGTAACCAAAGTAATTTTAAATTTAATTCTAACAAAATGAACACATAACTATGAACATACACGATAAAGACAAGCACACAAGTAATGCTTTAATATAAATAAATGTACATTGATAGCAAACAAAATTATACAAGAAAATATATTTTTCAATTACTTGAAATAATATTGGCTTACACTGGCAATGATCAACGTTCAAATAAGTACTGGTTTGTGACACCACCAGTCACTCCCGGCCAGTCACTCGACTTCCCACAGTCAAGAGTCACCTCTGACTCTACATAGGAAGTACTCACTAATAATATAAGTGTATTTCGTTCATAAGTATAGGGAAGCTGTGTCAAGGTTCAGTTAGCTACTGCTTGCAGCGTCCGATTTTGACCGCGTCCCTGACTGCAGCCTATTCCATCCTCAACTGCATTAACCGAACGCCCGTTAACCGAACGCTCGTTAACCCGGTAACCGGTCGCCCCCTCCCCCCCTGGGAATGTTTAATACTTGACAAGAGACACGTTACAGCCCGTTAATGCAGTGGTCGACCCAATAGCCGCAGTCGTCAATTTTAGTGAACTGTGTCTTCAAAATCAGTAATTTCTTAAATTCTAAATATTATATATTAGAACTATATGGGGTATCCGGCGGTGCCCGGGTCAACCCCAAAAAGGTTACACCATTTAAGTGTTGGGAGCCGTAAGCGTCTGACCTCCAAACTTGCACAGACAGACATTCTCTATATATGACAACGTCACACAATGAAGGATATATATATATATATATATATATATATATATATATATATATATATATATATATATATATATATATATGTGTGTGTGTGTATAATATATATTAATCTATCTTCGCAGGTAGATTAATGAGAACTTAGCCAAAGTTTATGAGACCGGGGTGAGAATTTAAAAATATATGATACCAAAAAAATCGAACGTAAACAGTTGTAAAACATGTGTAGTAAAGTATTTTCATTCATAAACAGGGTCTTTGCGGCTAGATTAACGAGCATGTTGTTGTTGTTTTAGATTTGGCTACTCTGAACAAAAAGTTGCAAGTAGTACGGGGTATGGCGACCCCGTTAGTGGAGGCTCTTTGGAGCTATTATCAGTATCAATAGCTGATACTGGAGGTCTGAGGATGGGGTCCGTGGATGTGGTGCCGGGTGGATGTGAGCGGCGACCAGGGCAGGACACGTGGTGCCGGGTGGATGTGAGCGGCGACCAGGGCAGGACACGTGGTGCCGGGTGGATGTGAGCGGCGACCAGGGCAGGACACGTGGTGCCGGGTGGATGTGAGTGGTGACCAGGGCAGGACACGTTGTGCCGGGTGGATGTGAGTGGTGACCAAGGCAGGTCACATGGTGTGGTCTCCCCCTGATACGCCACTCATGCTGCTGCCACACACTTCCCAAACATACCTTACCGCACTCCCATACCACCAAACTTTTCTTTATTATTCGCAACGTGAAGTCGGGTACACTCTCGTTGTAAAACTTTCTCTCTCTCTCTCCTGTGGAGAAATTGAGATAGAAGAATGATGACAATGGTGAAGGAAGAGGAGGTAAATGGGTGACCAAAGGACGTAAAGTAAATTAAAATGAGATGGAGGGTTCCTTTTGTTTACCTATAGTCAATTTCGAGAAAGGTGAGTAGATGTAGGAAATACATGCACAATTTCAGGATGGAACAGGGACACTAAAGAGAGTGGAAAAGTGTACACACACACACACACAGGATGGGACAGGCACACCAGGGAGATTGCCAGAGCCCTGCCTCTGACCAACTATGACCCAGAGTAAACAAACTCGCCACATGAGTGCCCCGACACACAGGGGGCGTCTGTCCTCAGACCCAATGGTTCATTTCTATGTTATTAGAGTTAGGTATTTTATCTCTGGCATTTTTGCCCAGACATGTCGCGAATGCCTGACAAATGCCGTAAGTACTTCATACATAATGATGATGCATTGCCAGGAATCTTAGCGAAGCATCCAAAGTTTACTTACTGTAGGTGCAGCCTGCACATGACTGTAAAGCTGCCGCCCAGTTGGGTGGGTGTGGAGCACATGACTGTAAAGCTGCCGCCCAGTTGGGTGGGTGTGCAGCAAGACTAGTAACTGTGTGACTCACCATAGATGTAAAGTGCCTTGTATAGTGACTTGTGAGCCTCTTGTTGAATCACTTGTGATATAGAAAGATTATCGATATGTTTATGTATTTGTGTAAATGATTGTATATATATGTACATGTGTATATATAGCATTAACAATTGTGTAACTAGCTTCAAATGTCACTTTCTTAGCTAAATGAACTTGTTTACATGTCTTCTGTCAGGTAAACAATTGTGTGTGAACATACATAGGTACCTGGTCACTTACGCAGCTGCCCTGGGCTATGTTACATAGTTTGTGTCACCCTGTAACCCTGGGGTTACATAGTTTGTGTCACCCTGTAACCCTGGGGTTACATAGTTTGTGTAACCCTGGGGTTACATAGTTTGTGTCACCCTGTAACCCTGCGGTTACATAGTTTGTGTCACCCTGTAACCCTGGGGTTACATAGTTTGTGTCACCCTGTAACCCTGCGGTTACATAGTTTGTGTCACCCTGTAACCCTGGGGTTACATAGTTTGTGTCACCCTGTAACCCTGGGGTTACATAGTTTGTGTCACCCTGTAACCCTGGGGTTACATAGTTTGTGTCACCCTGTAACCCTGCGGTTACATAGTTTGTGTCACCCTGTAACCCTGGGGTTACATAGTTTGTGTCACCCTGTAACCCTGCGGTTACATAGTTTGTGTCACCCTGTAACCCTGGGGTTACATAGTTTGTGTCACCCTGTAACCCTGGGGTTACATAGTTTGTGTCACCCTGTAACCCTGGAGTTACATAGTTTGTGTCACCCTGTAACCCTGGGGTTACATAGTTTGTGTCACCCTGTAACCCTGGGGTTACATAGTTTGTGTCACCCTGTAACCCTGGGGTTACATAGTTTGTGTCACCCTGTAACCCTGGGGTTACATAGTTTGTGTCACCCTGTAACCCTGGGGTTACATAGTTTGTGTCACCCTGTAACCCTGGGGTTACATAGTTTGTGTCACCCTGTAACCCTGGGGTTACATAGTTTGTGTCACCCTGTAACCCTGGGGTTACATAGTTTGTGTCACCCTGTAACCCTGCGGTTACATAGTTTGTGTCACCCTGTAACCCTGCGGTTACATAGTTTGTGTCACCCTGTAACCCTGGGGTTACATAGTTTGTGTCACCCTGTAACCCTGGGGTTACATAGTTTGTGTCACCCTGTAACCCTGGGGTTACATAGTTTGTGTCACCCTGTAACCCTGCGGTTACATAGTTTGTGTCACCCTGTAACCCTGGGGTTACATAGTGTGTGCCAAGAGCTTGCTGTGTGGTACTAAAATCCTCATCTCGTAGAAACAAACGCATTTAGAACATTATGTTGTGTCACTATAACAGACATATTATTAATGGGAACACCATTGTGTTCTACCTTGCGGTTACCTTGTGATGATTTTGGGGCTCAGCGTCCCCGCGGCCCGGTCCTCGACCAGGCCTCCTGGTTGGTGGACTTGTCAACCAGGCTACCTGCTTGATGGGGTTCTGGGAGTTCTTCTACTCACCAAGCCCGGCCCGAGGCCAGGCTTGACTTGTGAGAGTTTGGTCCAACAGGCTGTTGCTTGGAGCGGCCCGCAGGCCCACATACCCACCACAGCCCGGTTGGTCACAGGGCTGTTGTCATAGTCTGTTGGACTCGGTTGCTCTCAACCTGACTTATGAATCACAGCCTGGTTGATCAGGTATTCTGGTGTTAACAAGTCTATTAATATGAGCGTGGTGTTCGCTAACAGCACTGCCCGTTCTCCCGAGCGTTCACAGCGTCACTAAACTGTTGTGCTAAATTGCCCGATCCTAACCTACTCGAAGACCCAGGAACAGAAAACGGGACATCGCGTCAATTTCGCGAACCGCTGCCATCTTTAGCACAGCAGTTTTTGCCCTCAGGGAAATTATACCTCAAAAATGCTATGTAGTATTGAGGAGAACAGGTCGGTCAGTTCAGTATTGAGGAGAACAGGTCGGTCAGTTCAGTATTGAGGAGAACAGGTCGGTCAGTTCAGTATCGAGGAGAACAGGTCGGTCAGTTCAATATTGAGGAGAACAGGTCGGTCAGTTCAGTATTGAGGAGAACAGGTCGGTCAGTTCAGTATTGAGGAGAACAGGTCGGTCAGTTCAGTATCGAGGAGAACAGGTCGGTCAGTTCAGTATTGAGGAGAACAGGTCGGTCAGTTCAGTATTGAGGAGAACAGGTCGGTCAGTTCAGTATTGAGGAGAACAGGTCGGTCAGTTCAGTATTGAGGAGAACAGGTCGGTCAGTTCAGTATTGAGGAGAACAGGTCGGTCAGTTCAGTATTGAGGAGAACAGGTCGGTCAGTTCAGTATCGAGGAGAACAGGTCGGTCAGTTCAGTATTGAGGAGAACAGGTCGGTCAGTTCAGTATTGAGGAGAACAGGTCGGTCAGTTCAGTATTGAGGAGAACAGGTCGGTCAGTTCAGTATTGAGGAGAACAGGTCGGTCAGTTCAGTATTGAGGAGAACAGGTCGGTCAGTTCAGTATTGAGGAGAACAGGTCGGTCAGTTCAGTATTGAGGAGAACAGGTCGGTCA